TAAACACTGTTTTCAGTTTTGTTTCACAATACCTGATGCTTCCCTGCCCAGGCATCAGTCATATTGCACATATTTGCTTTAAACTTTGAGTGTAACTAAATCCACCTCATTTAATTATCCTAATAAATTTATACCTCAATAGAAACCACTAATGAGATATTAATAACAGACTAAATATACCTGTTAGACAGACTATACAAGTAAAATACAAAAGCACAATGAAAAATATTTGCACTTAAGTTCTAGACTTCTGTTCATTCCCCACTAGTGATATATGAAAAAAAGATTAGCAAACACACCTCGTCTGTGTTTCAGAACAATTGCCCCTGTTTACCATCCAAGTATATTCAAGGCCACTTCCAGTTTTCTGATAATATATAAGGACTTCTATGGGCAGAATTTATACTTTACAACAATCATTTGGAACAAAATACCAAGAGCTAGGACAAGGATTCTATACTACATCTCGGTCTCCTTGTACAAAAGAAGACAACTGATTTCAACAAAACCTTGCTGGTGACTTGCACATTGCTCATGCTACAGAGTCAGATCTATAGCCGCTACAAAATCTGGTGGGTGGGGTTTTCTTTGTTTGTTTGGAGACATTTAGTCCCAAATACCACCAATTATTTGATGACACATGCTGATGTTTCAGTGTACCTTGGCTCCTTTCTTTGACTTCACTCAGTGGTACAAGGCATAAGCCTGTAATAAAGTTCTGCTAAACTGTAGGGCTGCACATCCCACAGCAAATATTGTCTAACTACCATCTCGGTAAGGTAAAGTAGGTGGTGGAGCATGAAGTTCTTTATGTTTTCACAAATGACACATCCCACTTCAACATGTCACTTCCACAGCATCCGGTGCAACATTGCCAAGTGGAGCTGGAACCAGAACTTGTCAAGACAAAAAGCAGAGAAAGACGTTTTTCCTGTACACATTTTCCAGCCTCCCAGATTCAAGCCCAGCCAAGATTTGACACATAAACACTGCAACAGTACACAGACCAAGAGCCTCTATAGTCTAAATATGGTATTTAGCTCTGTATTCAATATCCCTGGGTCTTCAGCTAGAGTCACGACAGTGAGTCTTACTCATTTTGAACATGACAGAGTTTTACCCTCTCACACACACAAACCTGTCTGCAGGTGATGAGTTATTCATAAACCTGGCTGTCCTAGCTTCAGACTTCTTTCATCTAAGCATTGCCACTAATCACCGCCTTCCCACAGGGTCCATTCTGATGGACACATTGCTAAGTACCACACTGTACCAGGCAGACATTTGCCCACTACACCCTTTTTTTTTTTTTCCACTAGTACATCCCGTTGCTAAACAAATTTTTATCACCTTTCCCTTTTTCCCTAGGCTAACTGCCTTTACTGGACTATTAAATCCTATCCTGAAGTTTACTGAAATTGCTCCAATTGTCTTTATTCCACCCTCACCGATGAATTCTATAATTAATTTACAGAATTCAAGTAAACAAGCATGGCATGAGCCTTCTGTTACCCACCATACAACTTCATCTATTTCCCAAAACACTATTACTTCTTTTGAATTTTTTTGTTTCCTTCACAGAAAAGAGCAACTTCACAGATCTGTAGATTCAGAATCTCTCTTATTCAACTAATTACACCTCTGTCCTCTGGCTTCACTGCTGTAGTTTCATCCAGCAAAGATATCCCTATTTGACTTTTCATTTTCTGAGGAAATCCTGAGATACAATCTATCTGATTCTGGGTCCAGTACTCTGTCAAATTTACTAATGGTGATGGTACAGCACTGTCCTGCCTTGTCATTTCAGCTCCCCTCAGCCTCATTCTGTTCCAATCTACTGCCAAAATTTCAGTGTCTGAGGTGCTAAAGCCCACTTCTTACAGTGAAATTGAGAGCATCCATAGGGAATAGGTCTTATTTGTCTCTATTACACGGTCTCACTGTCCATATATTGGTAACTACGTATTTATTAAGATTTTCTAATGTTCATCTCCACTTCTCTTTCCATTTCTATGTCACTTCAACTACAACAGTAACTATTTTAATGCAGAAGTGCATTTGGTCTCAGTCTGCGCCCTTTTCTACCACCTTTCTTCATGAGTTTCCACATCCAGTTTGACACAATCCAGTTCTTAATCACACAGTCTACTCTACCACGTTTACAGTAAAGCAATGCCTTATGCATGAAATTTATTTTTCTACTCAAGAAGTGTGGCAGCCTGATCATACAGATTTAAAAAAATTTGCTTTCCTTTTCAACATTTGTTTTTTGTTTTTATTTCTAAATCCCCAGCAATCATAATATTCATATCCAGATTATGTCTGTCCTTTTCATTTCTCCATACTTTTCACAAAAAACACAAATATCACAAATTCCTGCCAGAGAAATTCCACTATATTTACCAGTAGTTCACCATGCAATTTAATTTAACTACACATACAGTTTCTGTACTGAAATACAAATAACAGTACTCTCGGTTTTTTTATAAAGACTTTCACAGTGTCATCCAGTAAAGTCAAAAAGAAACAGTACTTTGATTTCATTTTTTATGACATTGCTGAAATAGACTGTAGAATCAAGCACAAAGCCAGCCCTTTTCTCTCATTATAAAATCATAAGTTTGCTATTTATGGTTTTGTTAGACAATATTAATAAGCTTTCTTCGTGAAATACAGAGATACATTATTTCAGTATTAGTTGCAACAGCTGTTTTGTGTATGTACACTTCTATAACATTTAAAATTTTATAAAGCACTTCTAGATGACTCAAGACAAGAAACATTTATCATCTCTTCAGACAGTATTACATTAAACTTATCACCTTAGCTTATACCTGTTTTCCTCCAGTTTATATCACCTGAAGATAAAGACCCAAAAGTACAAGACATCATGAGCAGTTTATAGTTGTCCTGATGAGTTCACACCTCCTGCCTTGTGCCAATCCTAGCATCTGTGTAAGGAAACCGCTGTGATTAGTAACTGATAACATATCACTGTAAAACTTGGTAAAAAGAGAGGCGAAAGTGGGGTTTCTGGTGCCACCACGGGCAGAATGGGATCATAGCTGCAATTCGCAGTCCAGACTTGTACAAACTTCCAGTGACCACAGAACCACAGGCTGAAAAACTCAGACCACTACTTTACACTGAGTGCTTTGCTATTTACTAATATGCACACCATTCTACTATTAGCTGGTTTGCAGTAGTAACTATTCCATGCAGTGCCAAATTATTCTTATCCATAATGACTTTAATAATTATTAGACTGCAAACCCCTTTCTATAATCTCCAGTTTTCTTCGCAATTTATTCTTCCCACTCAGAATATAAGAACGCACTTTGTTTCCTCTATTTCCATGTACGCTTATCTCAAAGACAACTGTAAGTACATTTGCATGTGCAATTCAAGGCACACTAAAAAAAATGTAAGTAATATATATTTTATCCACAACTCAGATTTCAACAGAGCTTGGAGGATAAAAACATTATGGCATTTGTCCAGTGCAATTCCATTACTTCAACGTTACTAGATTAATAAATATGCAGTAGGAGTTTCGCTTTGCGTTTTTGGCACATTAAACCAAATATCCAGGTGTGCAAATGAAGAAAACCAGGGAGAAAACATGATTTTTATGAGTTAATCCAAACATCCCTGTTTCAAAGAAATATGATTAAGCGTTTGTCTTGTTGTATTACCCTCAAAAAAAAAACAAAACACCAAACTAAAAAAAGTCAGAGACAGGCTGTTCAGTCAGACTTCCCTGAAACTATAGTTGCTTATGCTGCAATTTACATCCACTGCAATCAATGACGGAAACCATACTACAATAACTTCTCCCCAGTATCACCTCTTCATCTTTAGCATAGACAGACCAAGGCTGAACTTGCCCACTATTTTCATAACGTTTCTGTATTCCTTCTTCAGTCCCTACAAACCATTTTACAGTTTCAAACACAGGGATGCTCTCGTGCAGATGGACAGTACCCGAAGAAAGCCATATAAAAAAGTAATCATATGTTATATGCTAATTCAGCAGCTGACAGGCTAATCTTGGTGAAGAACTTTAGCTTGAAACAAGAATGACATCAATCTTCCTTCTCCTTTAAGGAATTGCTTGGCCAATTTACAACATTCTGAAAAACTAATATCCAGCCTCTTGTGCCCCCAAACTAAGTACAGAATATTTCACCCAGTACATTCCTCAATTGCAAGAGTTGTCATCTCAAAAAAATTAAAAGTTAGTTTTCTATTACTGTAATTTCATTTAGAAGGTATACAATCCCAGGCAAGACAAAAAATAGCTTTTTGAGACAAACATAATTCATGAACGCATGAGTTACAACTCAATAGTACTTCACAACACAGCCCTCACTACTAAACCACCTAGTTAATATATTCCCTCCTCTGTCTTTATATAAACACACTTGTTTCTCTACAGGAACAAAATGAAAAAACCTACCCTCAATAAATGACTCACCACTCCACAGAAAGCAGAGCTGGCTATGAGTATTTCTTGTTTACGTAACTGAGAAATCTTCAAAATACATGTTTAAAGGTAAAGATTTAAAAAAAAAAACAACAACCGTCTTCTGACATGAGTAGCCAAAAGACAACCATATGATGTTAGCATAAAAGACAATTAACCTAATTTAAAAGGCATCTGCTTAAATTTTAAAAGCCCAAGGGACAGCACATACCATCCACAGTCTATAAAAGTATGAACAGTTAAAGGCTGAATGATATTAGTTCAAATGACAGTATTCGGTGACAGTAAATGAAAAGTACCTTTCTTCTAGCATTCCAAGAACATTTCCTTCTTGCTGAAAAGTTATACAGATTAATTCCCCATCATCTCCATGCATACTCTGTTTACCAGATGATAAATCTTACAGTGAATCATTGACAGAATCCAGCCATTGCAAGTTACCAGAACATAGGTGACTGTCAGAAAATATTAATAGTCTGCCACTTTGCTGGTGTTTCTAGAGGAACAGACTTACCTCGGCAGATGGTCCCATTCCCCACATATCCAGGTTTGCAGGTGCAGCTATGTCCCCTGACAGTGTTAGTACAGATTGCATTCTCATCACAGTTATGCTGTTCGCTGCCACACTCATCATGCTCTACAAGGGGGAGGAAAATAAATAGAAAAAAAAAATTACAAGAAAGAAAGTGAGCTTTGCAGTGTGATGTGGCGACATTTGAAAACCAAATGGAATTACAAGGTTACGTCAATGGCCGAATGCTGGGAGTTTGGTGTGGAGCCAGCTATGGGTCTGCTTCAATTATGAAACTCAAGAACATGTGCATGGTGACAACAGATTAATTAGGCACAAAACCAGGGAAAAAACCCAAAGAATCTGTGAGGAGGCAAAGCATGGCTAGGACAAAAACCCATGAAGAATATTATCACAGGAGAATATCTGCTGTGAAGACTAACCTTTACATCACTGTCCATCACCAACAGTAATAACGATAAATACAAGGTACATGAACACGAGAGGGCCCTATCAGCACGCCCTTTACATGCACAGTTCAGTCGTCACAGCCCCTTGCTCTAACGCATGCTGAGCTGACTCCTTCTCTACTAGCGTGCGAGAACATTTTACATTTTTAGAGTACCATTCATACTACCGAACCCCAAAGAGACCTCCAGACAAACGGGCCATATTTTGCTTTCATCCTGCAACTCCAACTGCTGCCACTGAGCCCAATTTGCTACAGCTCCTGCGCTTTACTCTCCTGCTACGTTTTTTTCTAGTACAGCATCAGTCAGAGGTGGCGAGCTACCTGACCCTGAAGTTTCTCGCTTCTTCCTGCAATTACTAGGAGCTTCCCTCATGCATTAGGATAGCAAAAATAAACCCACAATGTTATCTTTGCACTGGTGGATATACCATTTTGTTCAGTGGAATCAAGAGGATACAATGAAATTTCTTAAAACCATACAAAAGAAAACAGACATAATCAAAAATCAGGATGTGGAATCCTTCTTCATAGTCTTCATTTATGCTGAGGCAGTCTGACAAGAGATAAAAGGTGTCCCTTTCTGGAATCAAGGATTTAGTTAAACGTACCAGTGAATAATGGGCGTTAAAAGAACTGAGGACTAAATTTAACCTTCTATAGAAGACTACAGAGAGAGGTAGTGCCTCTAAAACATGAGCTACGTACTCGTTTTTACAGACTCTGAATTATGGCCTTTGGAAGAGCCTCTCCACTGAGAGCAACAGCATCACAGGCTTCACCAGGCTGAAGCTCATCTCTGCAATGCCCTCACTTTACCATAGTACAGAATGACAGACGCTTTCAAGATAACTCAAGACACATGTAGATGTGAATGGTGGCTTCCAAAGAACCCTCCAAACCAAATACTTCTGGAACACTGTTGATAACTATTTGCAGAACATATATCTGACATATGTTTTCTATTTTTCAAATACATTTGACAGCAAAATGATACGGATTGCAACCATTTTCTTTTAAAGAGCATCAAAGCGATATATCACTCACTCACTCTTCGCTTTTAGCACGAAACTCTCGTACACCCACACTGAAATGTGCCTGGCTTTAGCTGATAAATTCAGTCTTACATTTATACATGTTAGTTTATGTTGGTCCCTAGCTCTGCTTATTAATTCACTTCAGCTCTTTTCCAATTTTCAGATGCCTTACACATTCTGAATGCTAGGCTTCTTTGAGGGCTGCCTGTTCTCTCCTACATCTTTTAGGACACTGTAGCACAGCTCGATTCTTGCCACTCTGGTCTCACGGTGCTCAGACTGCTGGGTCAGACACAAAAAGTATCGAGCTACCCTCCCCAAGGAAGTGCTTAGCAGGCAGATGAAGCTGAATGATGCTTTCTTTGAAGAGACACCCCCTTCTCCACAATCTCTTGCTCCCCTTGCTATTTTTCTTTGTTATTGCCATTAGCTTTCACGTGTTCATATTCAAGCTATAACGAGAATGCCTTTGAGATACGCACATGTACACACAAGAACATTCCTACCCAAACAACTGCCAAAATTAGTTGATTACTTTCTCAGCACTTCAAGTATAAACAAAAGATCTCCCAGTGGCAACATACGTGTTCTGCCAAAACACACAAGAGATTATGCTCTGCTATGTTGTTCTAGGACTTTGACAATGCAAATCATTGTATTTACCACTCCTGCAGATGCACAGATGCTGGCAATATTGAAAGGTTTAGCACTGACAAAGGTGCTTCCCCACTTTCATACTTAAAACAGAGGCCAGTTTTGTCTAAGCTGATATAATTAAAGAAGTTAGCAACAAATCTGACCATGGGAACCTGCCCTTTGTGAGACTTCCCGATGCTGCTAGCACAAGGAGGACTAAAGGATCCTCGTCTGCACGAGGAATCCCAAGATTTCTTAGCAGCAATATGGCTGCAACGATGGGAACTTTAAATGAAATTTTCCCTGGTGTAGAGATGTTTATAGATGATGCTGCTACAGGCCTAATAAGAATGAGAAAACATTGATTTTCTGTCAAGGTACAAAAATCTTTTAGTCCAGATGGAAAAACCCTTAAGATTCTGTCAGTAGTGAGTTATCTGGGGTTTCTGTCTCCCTCATCAGAGATCATCCTTTGGAGCGCCTGGTGTTCACATTGCAAAGTGAGCATGGAAAGTGGGCTCACGTTTATTTTAAACTCCGAGGAGATTACAACCAATTTGCAAAGAACATAGCTTTCTTACGCACATCGCTCTGCAAAAATCCTGCATTCAAGCACGTCAAACAGAACCTGCTTTTGCTTTTATGTTATGGTAAATACTACCTGACTAGACAGCAGTCAAAGACTGGAAGGACAGCATGAAACAAGTGAAAGGAGTCACAAACGGTATCACTGCGAAGCACCGGAGAGGGGAGAGCAGAGACAAAAATCTCCATCTTATCTTATGTTAACAATTTCTCTCTTGCAGCTGAAAATGAGAAGCACAAGAAAGCGGACTCTAAAAGACAAAACCAAAAGTAATTCATAATTTTTTTTTATACACACACATATATACACGTAGATACAAACAAATACGCTGCCATGCCCAAGAATGAAACTATCATTATTAAGTTTGATTGAAGTCTTTCATCTCTCTGTGACTTCTGTTTGTTAAATAATACACACAAAAAGAGCTTATGATCAAAGACAAAAAGAACTGGCAGGCTTATTGAGAAGGACAGTACTGCAGGATGCAATTCCCTGACACAACACTCATTCCCCTGGATTATTAATATCCATTTCAAGATGCAAGTATCATTTCAGAAGAACGGTTACAACAGCAGCACCATTCTTTGCTTACAGACAAGTTAGTTTATTTACAAAATCTCTGTAAATTATGTTCAGCATTAGTATTTCTGTTACTCAGGAATCCTGGCTATTGCCACCTTTATTCTGTGCTTTGTCTTTGATAAAGCCAGAAAGATTACAATCAAATTTTATATTTTTTGTGCCTCTGCTTCCCTCCATAATACACAATATTACAAGATTCTAATTTTTTTTAGTAGCTGTCATTCTTCTGAAATCCTCAAATACCATTTTACAGAAAATTAAAGGATATCAATCTTCTATCACACAAAAAAAATAGAAGAATCAAATACAAACTGCTGGCTTTCCTTCTACTTAATTTTTTTCCTGCAAGCACAGATAAGGCATTAAAGGCTACCTCAGCTCTGAAGCTTCAGCTCACCTGTCTCTGTTTCCTAGCCACCAAGCTACAGCCAAAGGCCAAACTTAGCAAACTACACAGTTCAACCTAACATTTTCCTTCTGGATAAAAAGAAACCTTCTAGAAATTCCAAAAGCTTTCATGAACTTTTCTAAAATCCTCAAGAATATCTTGTTTTCTGAGTTCACAAGCTGGCCTGGTTCAGGTGTGAAGCAATGATGATAAAGTTCATTCTTACCTCAGCCTTTTTCTGAGGATGGCCATCAGCCTCCAAAAGCACTTCAAAGACCCCTGGTAAGAAATGAGTCATCCTTTTACAGTAACTTCTCTCTGCCACCTGTGTTGTACGGCTCTGCGCAATCAGCTCTGGGTGTCCTCTATGCACACATTAAGCAATGCTTCAGTTTTGAAGAACTAGGGCCTTTAAACAAACACCTCTACAGAAAACTTGTATTTGAAAAAGCTGTCACTGGAAAGTCAACCCTGGTTAACTGCTTGTCTCAGGCAACCGAAATTACATCAACAAGTCCACTCCAACAGGTCTGGGGACACTGATGTTTATACGTGGGCAGTGTTACATGACAGCACACGTACAGTGGTTGAAGATAAGTATTACAGTTATCGCTGCTTTGTTCATAGGCCACCTAATAAAAATAAGCTTATCTTCATGATTAGAATACTCAGGAGCTGTCTGAAAGAATTTGTTTCAATAGTACATGGCCTTACAGAGACAACCACCACATAAAAAGCAAAGTTAATTCACCAGAAAACAGTTTCATGTAGATAGTTGCATATCCTATTATAAGAAGCACCGATGCATCCTACAAATGGCAGAAAACCACCTCCCACCAAAACACAGGCTGGTCTGCGAGCACGTTGATATTAGGGCACACACAATACCTCCTTTTTCCTAAAATCCCAGAGAAGAAACTAGTTACAATGCAATGGGAAAACATGGACTATTTGCTGTTAAAGTCTCAGTAACATGAAACAAATAAGAAACTGCTGAAACAAGTACAATTACCAGACTGCCATGGAGAGAGCTGTGACCACACCACATCCCCTGTACTGGTGTGCGTGCTCGAGGCAGACGAACCCCAACTAAGCAAAGAGCACCGCACACCAACATCTGCAACATCAGCAGCCAGCATCTACTGCATACATACATGAAAAAAACCAACAGTTGAATAATACCCGAGGCAGCATAAGACCAGGAACACAACTCCATGTCTGCTAACAGAACACTCACTAAAAAGGTCAAGGTTCTGCTAATAGCTGTATCAGCTACACCTTCAGCAGCAGCAGAATAATCAATCATGACGCATTTCAGCTGTGAAGCCACTGGCTTCAATTTTAAGCAGACCTTTAGCCTCCTTCAAAGCACAGGTACCTATTTAGGCTAATGAAGTTAAAGCTTCTACAGGTTGTAGCTGCTCCTGC